TTCCCTTTGTCTCATTTTGGGTTCCTCTCTGGTTCCTCTGTCGCAAGTTCCAAACTCACCTTTGGTTTGAGCTGTCAAAGATGGAAGATGACACATAAACTGCACAAAGCTGACTTAATGCTTTGATACTGTACTGCTCTATTGGATGAGTGATTCCTTTTACAATGCCGCTTAATTGCTGCAACATTAAAGTCGATCAGAAGGTGTGAAAAGCCCCCATGGCGCCGCCTTCTTGGGCTTCTCCTTCCCAGTCGCCAAACAGATAACGCTGTAGCATTTTGAGTAAACCATCTCACACTCTGCTTGCTCTAACAACCCTCGCACCTACTGTTAGACATATTGCAGCCGACAGCGCTCTCGTTTCGTAAGGAAATGTCAGCGCGGAGCCTGCTGAGAGGCAACTGGGTGAAGGAGCGCGGGTTACAAGGGGCGTCCTGCTCGGCTGTCTGAAGCCTCTAATCAGGATCAGCTTCCGGAAGAAAAAAAAAAAGGTCTGATTTGTTGATCTGGTTTTTAAGCAAGAAGCCAACTTGCTTTTCATCAATTCTCCTTTCCATTAGTTAAATGCAACACTTTGAAGGAAGTAAGTTTGTGTTTTTTCTTGGGGCATTGGAAATCAACATCTACCGACGTAGACGTAATTTGCCCGCAAAATGGACCAAAAGTCATTAAAACCCGGCCGAGTTTAGCATCCATTAAGTTGACGCAAAATCAAGAAAGGAATAACAAAGTCGACCCCTTTTCGAGTCAGGCTGCAACCTCGTCTCCCACTGCAGGGAATCGAGTAGCCATGTCGGCCTCCTGCCCGGCGTTAAACCGGAACGTACCATCTGCCCAGGTAAGCAAGGGGGCAGTTAAGCAGGTGGTACTCAAAAGCTGTAATATAGCAAGAAGCAAATGAAGACTTAAGATACTTAAACATATGTGACATCTCCGGTTTGCTATGATCAGCCACACACAAGAGGACACAGGTGTGCACATAACCTAAGAGAGTGTCCTCTATTATTTGGCGGTTTTACCTGCACCTCCGTCGGGTGAAGGAGGCCGTTCACAGCTGAGGGATTATAACCACGCACGCCTGGTTTAGATGGAACTAAATGAGCAGCGTGCAGGACAAAGAACACGCCTCGCATGTGATCTTCCCCACGGTGTTTTAAAACCTTTGGGACAAAAACAAAAAAAAAAGCCCTGTGTTTTGATTCGTTTTCAGTACAAATGACAAAACACGGGGCTAAAATTACTCTTGTGGCCATTTGAAAAGTACCTGTTTTTTTACCTCTGAGACGTCCACTATTATATTTAGCTCACAGCGAGACCAACCAGCTATAACCATCGCATACTGAACAACCACGAAGGCTGCTTGGCACTTGTACATTAAAGTTTTGATAGCATTTAAAGTACAAATTCATGAGGCCCATTTCAATTTGAAGGCATGGAGATCCATTAGTATTCAGAGGAGGTCTTGAGTATTATATAAACAAATCAGTCTACGTAACAAAATCATGATGATAATAAATATAAAGACCATCTAATACATTACTTTTAACATAGCCAGATGTTATGCACACCTGGAAGATGATTCCAAGTGAAATACACACAGGCACTGCGTATCCGGTCCATGTGCGCATGGCGGTACTTTCTAAATCACATGAGGTTTCCTGGTAATATTCTCCTCCTGTGCGAATAGAGCTTAAGACAGTATTTGTCATGTAACTTCTCTTATCACAGCACAGATTTAATGACCTTTCATCAGGGCAGGAGACAAAAAGCCAGCCTCATGCTGCACCATCTTTTTAATAATCTCCTCTCCTAATTTAAATTTGATTGGTTATGAAATGTGCCGGCCTGCCGGGACTCAGGTTTCAGCATTCATCAGCATTTCCTGGTTGCAAATTGATGGCACAAATTGAGACATACAGTACTTCCGTGACTGTATAAGGACATCGACACAAATGATGGAATTGCATAATCCTTATGGATCTTTTATGTTTAATGCCATGTGCATTATAAAAAACAACCAGGACATGCAAAGTAATGCTGGCTGATAAATTGCGTTTTGGGAGTGTTGGAATAATTGAGCGGTTAGTTACTGTTAGTTCAGTAACAACAGGAGGAAAAATGTACCACTCATGACACCTTTCTATATATGGAGCAGGAGCTTGAAATGAGGGAAGCTCTGAGCTGGTTTTGAGATTAAACAATAAGTTGTCAATTGGTGTTTTCACAAATCAGCTCCTGCGACCGCGCACGTTTTCTTTCTATGAAGTAGGCTTTACTTCCCCCCCTAAAATCCGCCACGGAGTGAACCATCAATTGGTTGAGGCTCCGTGACCTGTCCGAGCTTTTAAAGGCCAGCCTGAGTCAAACTGGAGGGGACAGTGAAATCTCATATGATGGCAGATTTGTGGGCCGGAGTTCAGTGAATGCCAGCTTATTGCTATCGAAAAGGTCACCGGGCTACAGGCGGAATAAAAAGCCCTCGCCGGGGAGAAGGGGTGTGGATGCGTGTGTGTGTACATGTTTGTGTGTCTTTGCGTATTTGTGTGTGTGTGTGTGTGTGTGTGTGTTCGGGGGACGAAGGCTGCAACCTGAGGTAACCACGCTCATAGACGCGCTGCGCCCTCCAGCTGCATCTCTCCCCCTCTCTCCCCCGTTCGTCAGGCTTTGGTGTCTGTTACCTTCAGCTCTCCAGGAAGCAGTGGCAGGACATCAAAACACACCCGCGCAATCAATTACCAGAGAGATGAAATTCTCCAATAACGCGGCCTAATGATAATTGCCCTGAAATCTGCGATCTTTCTGACTTACGACACAAACCACTATTGGCATTACTGCGGCGTATTGGCAGCCAGAGCAGCCGGAATATCAATGATAATTGTTCAGATGTTGATTTGGAGCCGTGTTACTTGCCTGGGCTAAACAGAAAGTGTTTGCGGGGAATTCTCTGGGCCTCTGTGGCGAGCGCCAGGGGTCGCATTTCACTGCCGCTTGTGTGATTACGGAGCAGCCGAGAGAGGGAGCGGCTACGCGGGAGCAAGCCGCCACTGTTTAATTGACAAACTCGTATCACATCGAGCGGCGGAGACGCGAGGGCGACGGCGCGGCGCGATCTCCCTAATCGCGCTAATTCAATAAGACGGTTCAAAGGCTGGCAATAATACAGCAATGACAAACTCCACAAATAGAACGTGTCCACCGATGCGGCGCCGGGCCGCTTTCCCCCGCCAGACACCTGCCGGTTTCAAAAACGAGGATCAATCGGAGGTCACGGGGTGAGCCGGAAAGGGGGAGAACCGAGGGTGACCCCGGTTTGGACATCGCGCCCCGCCTCCATCGCCTTGGACCGACCTCGTCCAACAGAGTCAGCGTTTTTTTTGGTTTTATTTCCCCAAAAGTGCCTGAGAGACGTCTGGCTGAGTAATGTGTCCTATGAATAAAACACATTAGCTACAAAACACGCTGAATTATTCACATTTCAGAGCCTCCGTGCCGGCACGCGCAGGAGGTATCAGGGCTTCAGTCGCCGTGCGCTTTGCACACAGTCCTCTGGGCCTCCGTCTCCCCCGTGTTCGCTGCACGCCGCTTCTCCCTTGATCGTTCTCTCATCGTCTTTGTCATCCGTGTTTTGTTAATACCCTGTATGCTCCTCGGTTTCTCCTCTCTGCCGACGGGAACCCTCTATTTATACCGCTCAAGTCACTACTTTTTCTTGGAACATCTTGCTATTTATCTAAAGGGCTCTTGAAGCCGTCGAGGAGCGCATTTGTTCTGAGAGAATCTTTGATGACTTTGGTAACACGCGCCGGCCCACAATGAATTCATCATTTAGCGTAAATCTGAGGCGACCAGCTGTGAGTTTCAAAGCGAGAAGCAGCCGGAATAAGGAGGCAGGCGGTTTGCTAATTAAATACTTGACCTAATAAGCATCTTTTTGCTCATTTTATTTCCAGCTCCACTAGGAATTTGTGATTTTCATGATTGCAATGTAATTTACAGAATCAACAGCGCCAAATGAACTTCAAAGGGTACGGCAATCAGCCCATCCCCGCTTTTTACAGAGCTGTTTGCATGCGAAATCCCTCTCGTCCTGCAGAACATCCCTTTTCGAGTAATCCCGATTAACCTAGTGTGCACAGTGTGGAACCCTTCATCAACAAGTCGATGACAGCAGATCACAGCAACACAACGTAGCCGTAACACAACGGCCCCTTTGGGAACAGGCCCACGGGTCTACAGCCATGGTAACGGCTCCGAGAGGCTGAAAACACTCGGAGCTAAGCGCTAATGGCGCCATGCAAACATGCAGGTGCGATGATTACTAGTTCAGCACCTCCCCCGGGAGAAGCTCACGCCTCTTCATCTCGAGGTGGATCACGAGGAAATGTGACGCAGACGTTTCGCACAGGGAGAAAAATATGCAGAGAGCTGTAGTCAAAATGCGGCACTGGATTCAAACATTTAAAAGGAGAGAAAAAAACGCTGGGTCACTGTGTTTTGAGTTCAAAAAAGAAAAAACAATGAAGAAAACCCAAAGCGCTCTACTTAACTCCTCACACTAGACATGCTGTTGTGTTTTTATTCCACGTGTGCGCAACTTCACCCGGAGATACTTTGAATGTTTTGGCTCATCAACAGAGATGCAGAAGGTAACCCTGTTTGCATGTGACTCTGTGTATGTGTGTGTGTGTGTGTGTGTGCGTGTGTGTGTGTGGGAAGTGAGAAGTGTGTTTCGTCCGCCGGTTGAGTCACTTTCTGCAAGTGAACCACGCATGAGACCGTGTTAGCAGAAGCGGCTTCCAACAGCCAAGCGTGACGTCAATGGGCACGAGCCTCTCTTTCTGCAGCCACGGCAGCGCGTCTGACTCACGCGGGCTTTGAGGCTGTCTGTCACGGCTATGGGGGTCCGAACGGGCCGAGATGATGATGATACACCACCAATACACGGGCAAGAGAGCTGCCACTGTGTTGTGTACAATTTTTCAACAAACGATTTTACTCACCAGGGCACAGTAGGTCTCCGGAGGGTCTCCACAGGTGATGTTGGGGGGATCCAGAGTAACCTTCAGGTACTGGGTCATGTCTGCTGCCTCCGGCTGGCAGGCCATGTAGTCCCAGGTTAAGCCTTCGTCCGAGTAAACCTGGGACTTGCACACATCGTAGTGGCCCCACGCCGCCGGGTAGTGCTGCATGGCCGCCTGGCAAACACCGGCCCACAGCGCCTGCAGCGTCAGCGCCAAGTGGAAACGCATGACTGGTCCTCTCTCTCGAGGGTGAGGGGGGGGGGGGGGGGGTGGCGCGATGTCTCCTTCTGAGGGGATTAATAACGAGGGATCCCTCTCTCCGCTTCCGCTTATTCCGGCTCACTCAACGTGGAGTGAGGAGGCATGCCAAACTCCCCCCAAGTGGAGTGAGAGTCGGTTTGAGAAGTTGTTACTATTTCTGTCCCTTTTTTTTTTAGGTAAGTGGAAGTGGTGGGTGACTACGCAGGATGGCCAGGTAACCGGCCCGTTGAGGAGATAAGAGGGGAGAGATTCGAGGGAGGAAGGAGGTGGTGGTGGAGGAGGAGGAAGTGGGGTGTGGGGGGGGGGGAGGAGATAGCCCTCTGACACGCTGATAGGACGATGAGTGACAGGTCTCCTCAGCTCGCCCGGCTGTCAATCATGGTCCTCTTCCTGCACGGCGATCTGGCGCTGCGGAGAAACAGAGGGTGGAGGTTAATTGACCTTCTTCTTATGGGAGTATAATTCTGACAGTGAGAGAACGTTAGCTGGCGCCGCGGCGACGGCGGAAGGCGTAAGCGTGAGCGTGGAGCTGGATGGGTGCGAGGTGGGTGTGCCGCGTGGGTGTTTGTTGTCCATCAAGACGCGGTGGTGAGCGAGCGAGGCCATCGGGGGTAAAATTGGATCCTGCTGCTTCCTCAACAAACCCTCGTCTCACATGCTGCTCAGCCCCCCCTCGCACACGTCACACGTGGTATATTAATATCAAATACTATCGTTTATAACAAAGGGAGTTCACAAAATAATAGTAACACAAGATATTTTTATATTTCATGTACTGTAACATAAATGTAACTGAGCAGCTGGTGTTGCCACTCTTGATTGTTATTAGACATACATGTCTAGTGGTTAGCACCACTTTTACGTTTCTTCTCATAAGTGGAAGAGCTGTGTGTGGGGCTACATAGCACCCATTTACATCTGCTACCCCTTTTTTCTTTGGTCTGACGTTTTTTCCAAGGCGAGCATTAGACTTTCCCTCGATGTCCCGCTACCGTTCCTTGCATTGGACACACCTGTGAGTATAATAATAAATATCCATGTCTTTATTTGAATTTACTATGAGGTGTCCATAACCACCTGCGTATGCCTTGATGTGTTAAAAGCAGCAGCATGACTGCAGGAGATTGTGTGTGCTGGCCGGTAGGATGTAAATCATTGATTTAAGCAACAGACGAGGATAAGGGCAAAGACTCAGTAGCGAACAAATATGTGATTTAAAAAAAATGTATTTTCGTGCAAAATGTCGATCCATAGAAATTAGGGTTTGCAACAAAAGTGGCTGGAAAGTGGAATCCAATTTTGCCCCAGATCTTTGAGACAAACTAATACAAAAAAAGAAATACAAGAGCAGGCTTACTAGTCAGAGGACGGTGCGAGGAGGACGAAGTAAAGGGAGGAGAGAAATAAAACACCTTAAATGTAAAATGGAATAATGTCAACGGGGGATGTCAGCAGGTGAGGAAGCAGCCAATTATCCAGAGGAACTCTTGGCACCGAGCTCCCTCTTCCCATTAAGAGACATAATATTACCATGTTGCGGGGGGAGACTAAAGAGATGGCTGGAAAGTGTCTGCGCCTGTGGGTCACTATGTGTGTGTGGGTGTGTGTGTGTGTGTGTGTGTGCTCCTCCTGCAGAGGTTCATCTCATGCGTAATGAGACAACAAGCGGTGGCCAGGCTTGGATAACAAGCAATAGAGATTTTACAAAAGCGGACGGTGGGAGGAGAGGGGGAGAGGGGGGAGGGGGGGTCATTATCACTGCTCCGCCTTGGACTCTGCGGCCCCTTCCTTTTTGATTACTCCCCCCCGCTCCTACCCCTCCGTCGCCCCCGAAGAGAAGGGCGGAGGAGAGGGGAAAGAAAGGAGAGCAGATGGAAGAAGTGCCGACGTGCATTTTAAGTGAGGATGGGTGGGAAGGGGGGGGGTTATTTTAGGGCGGGTCGCTTCCTCTGGCCATCGATCAAGGTGTCGAGGACATCAGAGGAGGGGGCGCTCGCAGGAAGCTGACATTACCCGCGTGTACACGATGCCACAGAGCGATACACACCTCCAGTAACAGGGGGGGGTGGTGGGGGGGCAACAGGTGTGACAGCCAGACAAACTATTGTTGTTATGGATACAAATACGAAACGGTTAGGATGAAGCCCGGTGAAGGCACATCTATGGAGCACAGCTCCCACCACATCTGTGGTGGAAGGGGCTTGAAATAAGTGAAAAAGGTCCCACAGGAAGCAGTGGGAAGTGGACAAAAAAAAGCATTGTGTTTAACAAGAAAGGACTCAAGAATAGATGTCGACTCTTCGCTGTCCTTGCGCCGAAATGGTGGAACGAGCTCTCTGAAGACACCAGGACCGCAGAGAGCCTTCACATCTTCCGCAGCAAACTAAAGACACACCTCTTCAGACTCTACCTCGACTAAAGACTAACAAATTGTAGCACTTAAATTGTACTTGTAACGTCACTCATCTATAGCAAATTGTAAATTGGCTTACTTGAGGAAATTGCACTTTCTTGTTTCTTGTTCTCCTGAGTTTGTACCCTATGGTTGAATGCACTTATTGTACGTCGCTTTGGATAAAAGCGTCAGCTAAATGACATGTAATGTAATGTAATGTTGTTGTCATTGAAATGACATCTACACCTTCTCCCTCATCGTAATGCAGAATTAATATACAACATGTTTTTTTCTCTACACTCCAATGTTACGTACTGGACCGTGATTGGGTTACAAACCATCTGTGATGTCACCGAAACCTGCTGGTGCCCGAGCGTGTTGAACTGAGATTAAAGGACGGCTCAGAGAAACTTTCCCCCTCGAGCAGCTGAATGTCAAAAAAACGCCATCTCACACACACACACACACACACACACACACACACACACACAGCATCCTCCACCGGGAGGAACAATAAGCAAAACACACTTTAGAGTGCAGGAGGGCCAATGAATAAAATATGGAAAAAAAGATATGAAAAATGTGAATATAAAAAACCTGACCACAATGTGAAATGGGAGGGAAGCAAAAACTACAAAGAAAGTTAAATACAGAATGTTAACCAACCATGTATGTCCGATGACACCTTTAGTGATACAGAACAAAAATCAACGGAGGTAAACGGATTGGCAGCTTTATGTCCCGTGAAAGGCTGACTGTACACTGGGCCCCCCCCCGCCAGGGCCGCAGCACTTTGTGTTTAAAGACCAGAGTCCTGGTGGGCTGGGCCCCAGACAGCCAGACAGCCACCACTCCCCAGGAGCAGCCCCCCCCGGTGTCCACTCCTGTACCGTCCCCGGGGCCGGTGGAGCGTGGCCGAGTGTTTCCCCAAATCGCAGGGGGGAAATGTCCCCCCTGTGATTTGGGGAAAACGAAAAGAAGGCCCGTCATATCTGCCCCCCCGTCCCCAAAACTTCAGATTTTTTCACTATAACCCAAATCCTCCTCGCCTGGTAAGGCGACCTTCGGACGCTTTCCGTGGCAAATTCTATAAAAAATCATACCACGTTCGGATTAGATGATACTTTCTTTTCCTCCTCCTTCTGGCCACAACCACTTATTCTCCCGTCTATCCACTTTTCAATCATTGCCCGTATTGATCCTTGTATTTCCCAGTGACCGGGTGCTTGTGTGGGTTCAGCGTTTTCTCTTTCTGCTTATAGTGCTGCCAACATTGTGGAGTGCTTTTTAGTCCTCCTTTGATCAAATAGGCCCATTTCTTTTCTCACTGTCAGGTCATGACCTCACACCGATCACCTACGGTGGCCCACAGGGGGCAGTCCTTACACACCTGCCTGTCTATTTAAAGAAGGTGAGCACATTATGTTATTATAAATGTCCAATCTGAAAGAAAGTTGTCCACTTTAGATGTAAATGATGTGATCAGCACAGAGTGAGCTGGAATAATCCCAGGTTTGCAACTTTCCCTCTTTTTAATTTTGAATTTCCCGCATTTTACGTCAGCTTTTATGGGCGATTTCTGACCCCGCTTCTCTCCCGTCTCCAGCCTCTTTCATCTTCTTTTAGCCAGAGGTGTGCAGGAGAGAGAGAGAGGGGCAGACAGACAGAAACCAATGAAAGATGGATAAAGATAGAAGCTGGCCCAGCTTTAGAAAAAACAACGACACAAAAAATACAAATTCTCCTGTCTCCTCAACAGACTCCTATCCCTGCCTTTCCAGAATCCCTGATCTTGGCTGTTAACAACCTGCCAATAGTGCCGGCGTCCTCATGAATAAAAACGCGGGGAGCGGAGCGTGGCCCCGCAACCATGGCAGCCGGCCTCGGTGGGCCCGCCGGCCGCAGCGCCTCCGGGTCGGCCCGTCACTTAGCGCTCCTTCGCCACTTCTTCTTAAAAGTGTCGCAGCCTTCAATCGCCGCAGCTTATGATCTTTTAATAATGACGGCCGGCGTGGAGCACAGCGGGCGGGGGGGGCGCTGACGCCGTGTAAAGCGCTCGTACTTCGGAGATGGGTGGGGGGGCATGCTCGGGGAAGGAATCAAAACTAAAAAGTGACACGAACAGCGAAGGCTGTTTGTGTGGAGGCTTCTTTTCCCCACCTGTTTCTCCACTTTGAGAGGCCTTTTTCTCCCCCACCCCCCCCCCCCAGTCCCTGAGAAGGCCGCGTTAGTGGCGGCCATCAAACAGCCGTGTGCTTGAACCCTGCCGAGGTGACGGGTTCCTTTTTTAACTGGACGTGGCTGCAGACTCTCCTCAAATGCCGGCGTCTGCTGCAGCCAGACGGGTCAGGCCCCCGGGGGAGGAGGGGGGAGGAGGGGGTGGGGGTTTGGTCGGGACGAGCGGGGGCCCTGACCGCTGAAGACGTGCTCCTTTCGCCTCCACCAGCTGCATCTGCCACAATCCTCTGTCACTGCCTTGTGTCCCCTCTAACTGCATCCAGCCCCCCCCGGGCTGCAGAGGGCTGCCACATGCACTCTGCGTGTGCCAGAGCAGCGCTTCTGACAGGGTGACTGTGCCCATGCTGACCCTGGTCCAGCTGAACAGCAATCCCCCCCCCACCTCCCTCGGGCGTCAGTTACTCCAGCGCGATGCACACAGCAGTGCGCCGGCGGAGATCACGCCTGCCCCCATCATCCCTCCCCGCCCTTTCGCTTCCTCTGACTCTCCTTGCCACCAAGCGCGCTTCCCGTCGCGACACGGGAGCAGCACCAATCTGCATTATTAAAGACACTCCAATCTAAAAGGCCGCCGGCGCATCACGCCACGGACTCACAATGTCCACTCGAGTTCCAAACACAGGCGCCGGCCCACGTAGGGCTCGCGCAGGCAAAACACGCGCAGCAGGGGCCACTTGGCTTAAAGTGGCCGCTGCTAACAAACACGGGGAGAGGGTCACTCGTTGTCATCATTTCACAATGGGTGGGAGGAGGATGAGAGGGGGGAGTGGGGGGGTCAGATCAATGCCACAGGCCATAAACATGCTGACTGGGAGTGGAAGGTGCAAATTCTGATCTAATCACGGGCACAAAGTTAAAAGAATAACTGGTCAGGTGCAGTTGAGGATCCTACAGATTAGTTGAATCACATCCCGGGCGAAGATGCACAGCCTCAAGACTTCAGTGTGACGCTACCTGCACTGAAAAGTGCAACGAAACATTGGAATCGAGCAGTTAGCATCGGAGGAGTAAAGCATGAGTAAAGAGTGCAGCAATGTTGAGAGAACATGTAGCAAATCCAATCTGCAGCAGGCCCCTTGGATCATTAAGGGCCAACTGGCGGCACCATGAAACAAATGGAATTATGGGTGATGGATAGGCAAACGATGAGGTCATGGGTTCCACAAGGGGGCGCCTTTTTAAATGACCTGAAGGCATGCTGTAAGTTGCGGATGCATTCAAGGTCTCCTCTTTACTAAATGTGTATCGGTCCTTGCGGTTCTGAGGCGCGGAGATTGCCGGTTGGAACGAGAGGAGACGCAACTCAATCCCTATCCGTGAATTTACAGGAGAGTAACGCAGCCGGAGTCACTTCCAGAACCGGCTCCTTCAACGCAGTGGAGTGGAGAGCAAAATGATCCAACACACAAAAAGTTCACACGCAGTGAGGAAAACACAAAATAAAACTTACATTTCCTGGGAGAGGTACTTCCCTTTGCCTTTGCCTTCGCTGTATAACGCCGCTCAACAAGTTCAGAGCAGCAGAATGAACGCGAATAGGAGAAAGAAGCTCTTTAAGACGCGTTCCTTAACAGGAATGTGATGAGTGCGCACGTCGGTGATTCTCTGAGGAATCGCTGTGCGCACCATCTCTCGCTGCTGTCTGGCGACCGGAGCGGGAGAAGGAGAAGAAGAAAAAAAGAAGAAGAAAAAAAAAACGATCAAGAGGAGGATTTTCCTGCCACTCCCAAACAAATGAGTGATGGCCGTCCAGAGGGCTCGGTCAGCACCGCGCCGGGCGTAAACGGGGGGGACTTCTGAGCAGGGGCTCCGGTGCCAAAGTGTCCATCATCATCCTCTCTCTCTCTCTCTCTCTCCAAGTGTCATTCCATCACGGAGTCAATCTCAGGCACAGCGATGTCTCCAGAAAACAATGAGAAAGAGACCCACTTTGTTTCCCCCTCTAACGCAACTTTCACTCGCCGCGCGTCCCCGCTGTTCCTGTTTAGAATTCCTTCAGCTCCAAACAGTCCTGCTCGCGGATCTCTGCGCGGATCTCGCCCCCACTCTCCCCACCTCGCGTGCTATAGTCGTCGGCCACTCAACGGGGGACACGGAACACCCCAATTAGACTCGGCGGCTGAAGGTATCCGCTTGCACCTTCCTCCTTCCTGGTCGTTTTCTTTACGGCACGGCGCAGCACCGACCGCCCAGACGGGAGATGACGGCGATGATAATGCGCTGCGAGGCTCTATTAGCTCAGAAGAAGCCACACTCAGCTTGCACCCCCCCGCCTCGCTCGCTCCCCCACCCACCCGCGCACACCTATACTCCCACCCCCCTCCTTCCAGCCCGTCTCCACGTCGCGTTCAACCCCTCACACGCACGCACATCCACGCACCGTCATTCTGTCGGGACCCGTCGGGAACTCGGGAAGGAGGAATCGCCCGGAGTTGAACCTCTTCACTCGATCGCATTAAATCATCCAAGAAATGCGCGCGTTAATAGTCATGGACGGAGGGCAGAAGCCGGAGGTTAGACGTGAGCCTTCAAACAGCGTGGTCAAAGTCACGAGGCATTTGTGCCCCCCCTCAGATGGCAAATTGGTTCGGAAATTACGTTTGCTATTAATCATTATAACTATCTTACAAATGTCATATGTGTACATCTCCGAGTTGTGCGTAATTGTTTCCAATTGTGAATATGGGGTTTATGTAGTTGAACTATCTCCGCCTCATTCAGTAAGTCAGCACTCCAAAGAGGGAGGAGGTCAGGGGACAGAGGTGGGGTGTCAGGAAATAGCAAATAACAACCTGGTAGATATTTTGGCCAATAATTAATTCATAATAAAAGAAGACGGGTCCTTCACATCAACAGGGTCTAACGCGATCACAGCCTTCTCAGCATAAAATAAAATCCACAACGAGTTCAATTCGATCAGGGCAGCGCCGTCATTTTGGAGACCACGTGGAGGGAGCCAGAGGGTGCGAGCACGAGTCTGGTCACGCAACCTTGCGCATGGGTTGCAGCCGGGCGCAAGGCTGCGTGGAGCCTCTAGGCTCGGAGGCCACGGAGGGGGGGGGCTCTGTAATCCCCACGGGCGCCCTCCCCACACACTTAGCCCCAAGCTCAGAAACACAGAGGGAACATAAGGAACGTGATTGGAAGTATCTTTGGGAACCTACAGATGGGTTTTCAAAGATGTAACAGAGATGAGGAATGATCCAGCGTGATGAAAAGAAAAAAATCTATTGCAAGTCTTTGTGACAAAGACTCGCGTGTTATTATCTGCACGGAGCATGAGCAATTCATTACCATTGCCTATGGGTGTGGAAACGCAGTAACCACCGCCCTGGTTCTGCGCGCTCGATGCGCGTTCATGACTCCTTAATAGCCTCACATATACATACAGGTGAGTTTTGCACAAAAAGAGCGCCGAGTGTCAGAAATAAAAAAAACTATTTTCTTTACAGTCTGACTGGAACATTTAAGCTACACCAGATTTTAGTTTATTTTTCCTTTTTTGCTGCTTAGGACATTCCGGGAGAGGGAAAAGTGCCAAATGAAAGCAGACAAAGATAACCAGAAAAAAAACCATCTGTTCTCAAAATAGCCGGCCGTACTTTCCCCCCAACCCGACGCCAGATCACCCACCCTAGCGCGCGTCACGGCGAAGCTTCAAAAGTTTACGCGCTCCGGGGTTCGGCTGGAGCGGAACGGAAAAAAAAAAGAAAGCGACTGCCGGAGCGTCTCACCTTGGTCCCTCAGTGCTTCATACCGCCGAGCAGCAGCCACCCGCGTCGCCCTGTTGAGCCCAATAAATCCGCTCGGAGACGGGACATGTTAGCGCGCCGCAGGAAGAAGGACGGAGGAGGAAGAGGAGAGGGGGGGATTCGCCGTGTAAGCGACTAGCTGGTCTCCGCCGCTGCCGGGGAATGGAGGGAGGGAGAGCTCCCGGTTAACCGGCGCACCGTCACTATACGAGCCCGGACGCACGCGTGGAGACGACAGGGAGACAATCTCCCAAGACAAGCGTGTCTTGTTTTGAAAGGTTGTTTTAAAATGAAGCGGAAAATATTCCAAGTGGCTGTTGAGAAAGAGCCCACGAGACAGCAGAGAGTGACTCACTGCTCTCAGGCAGCAATGAGGCGCTGAGTCTTTGACGACCGACTTTCACCCCCAAGTTTGCGCTTTGCCGCAGCTGAGACGCGCGGAGTCGGCTGGGATCACTGGGACACCACATGGTCCTGGTGGACGGAATCTGTGGGGGGGGGGGGGGACTATTGGCCGTGAATTTCAATTCCTGCATATAGTTGGTATAAAATAGGAAAGATACAATAATTTCCTTTTAATTAAGTCAAAGCGGACTCAAAGTTCACGTGGTTAAAATGTACATTACTGATCATTCCCTTTTGCTCTTTAGGAGTCATCACTCAGAGGTCTAACATCCCTTGATCATAAATTGATTTGTTTACCCAAAAATTACAACTTTAGTATGTAGCCTACACAGACCACATCCCCTGTGCCACAGGAAAAACTCCCCATTCCGACATAGTACACATATCGTCCTTAAAAGTCACACGAGGGATTTTACGGGCTCCAATCAACATGTGTGGAAATGGTACTTTGGAGATCTTTGGAACAAAAAGGAGACATCACCACAATAGAGGATTTATGGCAGAACATTAAAAAGATGGAACCCATGACCTTGCTTCCAAGCACTTGCCAGCCTGCAGGGCGGCAAATTGTGACCCCGGGGAGCGATTTTTGAAAAGCTGGAAATTCCTGAACAACAAGCCCAATTTAATTGATACCAAGAAAAGCGCGCCGACGTGAGGTGCAGGAGCACGGGCGTCTTGGTTTAGGGGGAAGCTTACTTTGTCGGCGAAGCGGAGGACGGGTTAAGGATACAGCCGAGCAGACAGCTCTTCACACAGCTGCCTCTCGCCCTCTGGGAGCCCAAGGGCAACCTGCCTCCTCATGGACCCCCCCCCCCCCCCCTCCCTCCAATTCACTCAGCGACAGGAGAGGAGTGCACAGCGGAAAGCTCCCAAAGAGCGCATTTCCCTCTTATTGACTCCACATGGTGACTATTGTGTTGACGAGGGCCACGGTGCGAGATGTGCGCGTGAGAGAAGATGCAAAGGGGTCAGAGCCAACGGACGAGTCGATTGAATGTGGAGGATTAGTCACACACACACACACACAGACGTACAACAAGACAAAAGAGATGCACACGTGCACACGCAACAGGACACGTGTGTCCTCAAATCAATCATCGGGTTCAATTGGTGGCTCCGTTGAGGCCAATAATTACGTGACCCCCAGGACCCACTTTCACCCCTCCCTTGTGTGTTGTTAAGTGTGTCTTTTCTGTCCATTGATGTCATCATTCATAATGGTTATTATAAAACCGCCGGCTGAAGCTGTTTCTGCACATCTCTGTCGACGCCAGGCACAGAGGTATTGGATTTTCTCTTCACTCCTATTCAGTGAAGGCTAATGTTGCCTTCATCCGGAGAAGTGTGTGTGTGTGTGTGTGTTAGTGGAAGGGCAGGTTATTCATAAAGGAGTATTGTGTTTGGGCCTTTGCTCCATACACTTTTATGAGGTGAGACACCGCTGTGTCACCAGGCTGAGTGGGAGGGGGGAGGGAGCAGCGGCGCACTGACGAAGGTTCAGGCAGATGTGCGGCACAGACAGCCGTGACCTCTTGCAGTCAAAGCACCGTCCCCCCCCATCAATACAACAATGCCATGTACACCGCAAAGCACTGCATCACAAATTGTACTAGTGCAAAAGAGTTCAATTCATTTGATTGGATTAGCCAGTTAGTTTAATCTACAAATAGAGTTTACACCTTTTTGTACATCAACTCTTAATTTACAGGAGGAACTATTCATTTTATTTTGGGAGTAGAAGCGTCTTGTACTCAACGCTGGTAGGTAGAGGTAAGAATGAAGTTAAGTTAAGTTTACGTCACGGAAACATTGCACCAAGGAGTTTTAGTCTTCACGTACACGGACTGTGCAATGTCCGACTTTGACTCTGCGAGCTATCAAACCCCCGAGGCTGGTTTTGGAGCGTCTCTCTCCTTCTGACATAAACCGCCGGTAGAAGAAAGAGGAGCGACTCTGGGGCAGTCGTTGTGTGCGCTGGAGGCCGTGGATTGAAGGGTTGGGGCGGGTCGGTCTCAGCACCTCTGTGCACCTGCTCCGTTTGGACTCCGTGTCAGAGGTTTATCACGCTTCATTTCAGCCGCCTCCACCGCCCCACCCTCTAATCTGCTGCCTGCAGACCTCCGCCGCATTATCCAATCCTGCACCGTGTCCTAAACCACAAAACCCAACGTGCCCGCATTGAAATATCATATTAGGTTATAAAACAATACCTGAGAAGACATTACATGGAGGCATAATCCCAAAAGTGCATGATTTGAAAAAGGATTAGCGGGTAGGGGTTGCTGGGGATGTGGACCCACAGTTTGGTGGATTTGTAGGCTGAGACGCTGCCTGCGTCGGGCTGATTGCGAATCGGGGGCCATCCCGTTCCGATTTACGTGCCGCTGCGAGTGATTCGGGGCTTAACACGCGCCGTCCAGATTGGGCCTCGCCGTAACGGTGTGTGTCCGTCCGTGAAGTCGCGCCTCGGTGCTTTCGGCTGGACGCGTTTGTCATCAGGCAGCAGCTTTTTCTCAGGGCCGAGACTCGCAGCTTGGTGCCAGGATGAGATGCCGTTTGTCATTTGAATAAGAGCAATGTTTTAGAACTGTTGAGCGAATGCACTGGGATGCGCTGTGGGACAGGGTTATTTTGGGGGCTTTAGCACTGGGCTCGGCTAACGATAATGATGATGGATGCTCAGGCCTGCCGGTCCACAGGAAAAAGACTCGGCTCTCAAGGGGGGGGGCGGTCACCAAATTAGCTTTAGTCAATACCCTGCTTCAGAATTGCCCTCGAGATATGCTGACAGAAGTATTGGTAACTGTAAACGAGCGTAGGAATTAAATCCCTGTGGCTTAGTCATGGCGTCATTAGCATTTGAGGATGAATGAGCGTCCATGATTAGACGCTGTGCCCCCGCCGGAGTCCAGTCAGGTTTCAGCAGTGATTGAAAATGAGCATGCAGAATCGTAATGAGTAAAAGATGCGGATTCAAACCGTACGACCCAATGAAGAGTTTAACGAATGTTAAAAGGAAAGATATGCAGTTGAGGAACTAGATTCCCCAATGTGGACCATCAACCCTGATTGGGCAACAGCATCAAAGAATGCAATCGACAGGAACAAATTCAAATGGCCTTCCAACACTGCTGACTCAAATCCAATTACACTCCATGTTGGAGATACACATTTGTGCTATTTCAGTTCGAGGTGATAGGCACCTGGACGTGATCGAGAACATCGATGTGAAAGGTTTCACGTCGCTGCTTACGTCTTTAATGAGCCGCTTGATATCCCTCCGGAGCGCTCAGTGGTCTGCCACAGGCCTTTCAGCAATCCGCCATCGCTAGGAATGAGTGTTTGTGTGTGCTCTTCAGCCCCGCTGTGCTCTCGCTGTCAACGCCAGTCGGAAGCTGTGTACCACTGCGCACTGCCGGCTGCTCCCGGTGGTGGACGGTTATGTACGAGTCTCTCCTCGGGCCAACGTGAAGTAGGAACAGGAAACGCCGGATGGACAGATTGCGGAGAGGGAGGGGAGGGGGGGGGGGGGGGGGTGTTTGCTGTTGGTGGATTACAAGCCGGATTTACAGGATTTAGAAGGAGCCATCATGTTCTTCTTCCTAATGTATTGTTTGACTTTTTAAAGAGTTTGACACTCATTCGTGCTTTGCAAATAGATATGGCACATGCTTTTTTGTGGAATGTAACCAGTGTTTTAGGCTGTTTGTGTTGCTGTTGTTTGGCATCAGAACAATATTGGAACGCTGCCTTTGCAGACGGACAGGTCTCTCTCCGGGTGTAACGATTCATTCACTGAATCAATTTATATTCCTGCGATCCAACTGAATCGATCTGTGCTCCGCAAATTGGCATTCCGGACGACATATATCGATTACAAATCGATTGAAATGGTACATAATCGATTGTATCGATACTTGGAAACTGCACATTGGATTTAAGTACAAAAATGGTATGGATGTGTGTTTGTTTGTTTGTTTTTTAGCACTTTAGACACGTTGAACGTTACTCTGCCTGTCTGTGACGTCATCAGTATGCAGCGGCATACAACTTTGTTACTGCCAAACATTATCCTTGGAAATGTTATTGCATGAATGTACATGAATTGCTCTCTAAATGTTTGAAAAAGTGACATGTGAATATTGTCGTGCTTTTTTGTTCATATGATAATGCTAAATGTGGAAAAACTGCTCAGGATTTTAGAACGTGCAACATTTTACAAACGGCGCCCCATAATAAACAAGCAAACAACAATTAATGGCAAATGTATTAACCTTTTATTTGAATCAAGTGCCATTTTCAATGCAAACATTACACAATATTTACAACGGCACCCCATAGTTTATAATATCCATAATTAATTTAAACCTGATTTCCTTACAAGAAACAACAGGGATTTCAGAAACTTTGCCTGCACTGTCCAGTAAAGTTACTGAATCGATTTCAAGTCACTGAATCGAATCGAATCGTTCTAAATTAACCCGGAACCATCCATGAATCGAATCGGCAACCACGATTCGAAACAATGTGTAAAAATAGATGATGATGTCATCTAAATTTGCAGACGGTTCTCATACAGCCTCAACTTTCAAGCAAGTATTAAAATTGTTTGATTAAACCGTACTAAACGGTTTCCAAAACAAAGGCTGCATGCATGTCACCAAATGCACAAAACACGAGTAACTTTTAGTAAGATATCATTGAAAGCATTTTTTGAGGGTACGTTCAAACTCAAAAACGGACACAAAGCAAAGTGCTCAGCGTCCAAGTCACAGAGGAAGAAATAAATCAAGCATAACAGCCGATCTAACTGACACCGGAAACGCTGCACAACGGAAAAGGGTTGTTCAAGTCTTTGAACAAAAAGTTTGTATTTTAAGTGATAGTTAAAGGACGTTGACCAAATCTAAAAGCAAAAACTGGAGAAAATCCAGTGGTGTTAACGTTGACAATCTAACCAGAATATGAAACATATGACGTCTTTTTTTCCTCCAGCAGTTAGAACACAAAGACATCTGCACACTGACTCCAGGTCAGTGAGTCGTGTCCCCGCCTCGTCCCTCAGTCACGCATTGAACAACCGGTCTTGAAATCAGTCAGATTAAGCGCAACGTCTATCGATCGCGCTCCTGAATTGACGTGCGAGGCGGGACAAATAATCCCATTTCAAGTCGCAGCACTTGTTTCTAATGGTTTCCGAAGCGTCTGAGGCCGGAATGGATCCCAATTAGTTTAGCGGTTAGCAGCCAGAGAGCGGCCCCGCGCGCGGGAGCGTGATTCCAGGGTTGACTTTTCCATTCCTCAGACGCCTTCCCCCGAGCTGTCTGTGGGGCTTTTTAAGTGACCCGTACAAAGAGGTACTCCGACAGTGTGAGAGCACACTCCATTGGAATGAAAGCAGAGGACTTTTCTTGTGCTTCTCTGGGCAACAAAGAGACTCAAACAGAGCAGTGACCCGTGCAGCGGGGGGGAGGCGGAAAAAATTAAAAATCTATTTGACAACAAGGATGTGACCGTGAGAAGTCGTTGTTGCGTCCACGCCGCTATGACCGCTCGACTTTAGACGGAGGACAGCAGGTCGTCACAGACTGTTGGGACGGCGCTGGAAGCCACGTGCGCTAATGAGACGCCGTACATGAGGCCGACCAGGGAGGCCCGGTAGGAAAGGACGAGGGGGCTATTCCCGCTTCTCCCTTCATGCAGCCGACGACCCGCAAATACTCAAGCGCATGGCGCTAAAGCGACAGATCATCCACATTATGGGAAAAAAAGGACAGTTTGGGGCGGATTTACGCTTCAGATTTGTACCAGGAGGGATTTGGGGTTGAGTAACCTGTTCACCGTCACTACTATGACTTAATCAGCTTGATTCATGTCACCCCGGACAGACGGTTTGACGTTCATGACGTGACCTCAGACCGACTGCACGACTGCCATGATTCCAGCGATGACGACGTGTGAAAGATGGATTACAGCGGAACATTTTCGGGAATCGGTTTATCATCTGCTGAATAAATAGAATGTTAAGGGTCGAATTCAACGTGCATAGAAAACGACTTAATACTTCATCAGCGCTTCGACGGGGGAGAAACACAATAATACGCTGAATATTATAATAATGCACCTATCGAAATGGAGATTGTTGTAAAACATCCCGTGTTTTAAAATGTCATTTAGGAGTGAAATCATTTTGTGTCATATTTAACGTAATAAATACACAAAGGCAGCAGTAGTTTAGCAGGTCAATGCAAATACTGACGTACTTAAATAACATTAACAAAATAATTGACCTTCTCTTCGTAGACCAAGCACACTTTATCAGTTAAAATAAACAGCATGTTTTAATGTATTTGTATGTAGTTGATGCCTCTCTCGTGTCATTGAAACCCAGAATCAACATTTTTATGATCACTATCAGTAAAAACGATGCATGAGCTTTTTCATGGATGTCGAGGCCGCCGCCTGCTTAATTTAAGTCATAACTCAACGCAGTTCTCCTGAACAAGGACATTCAAGTCTCTGTAACCAGTTATAATGTGACTGATTAAAAGTGCAGTTCAAAAATAACTATAGCGGTTGTGAGACATGCTCAGGATTCTTGTTGCCGCTATTAGATACTAATCAATTCAGTCAGAACTCATGACACGTTCAACAGTTTATTGGACCATTTGTTAAATAAAGAACAGTTAGTAAACTGTCTCCAACAAGGTTGAATATTAGCTGTAAAATTGTATAATTATATATAAGTGAATCAATGATCAGTCTCCAGGAAGGATGTTTGTGTTCAATGTGTGATAAACAGTCAAGGATAAATATTATCCAAGCAATGTCCATTAGGACTGAAACACTTGTGCATTACAGTCTTACAATTACAATCACAACTCCGGATGAAGGTAGTTGTTTGTGTCCTGGTTGTAAATAATGAGGCAATTTAGTGCAACAAAAAATGAAAACCATCCAACAGAAGACACTTCCTGCCTGAGCGCAGCCAGTCCGAGTCAATAGGTCGGTCCGATGGTCATTTGAATGCAGATTCCACACAACGAGCATTATTAAATGGATTAAAATGACGGAAGTCTGCAGAACAGCATTGGATTTATTCAACTGGCAGAAGCTCAAATGAAACCTGCCTCACTCGGCTTTACACACACACACACACACACACACACACACACACACACACACACACACACACACACACACACACACACACACACACACACACACACACCTAGAAGTGTTCGTTACTCATGGGGGAGGACTTTGAGCTTCTTGCTGAGACAAACTGAGCATCTGATGCATTTCTCTGTTATAGGATAGTAGGACGTATTCTTATTAATAGTATTGGTAACCGTATTAGTAGCAGTAAATCTACTAATATTTGTGTGTTGGATTTAAAAAAAAAATGTCTATGGGCCATACTATTAAGAAATGGGTCAAAGGTCAACTGGGCATGGTATGTACAGGTGTCAGCTGAGGGCCTTCCCAGCGTCTCTCCTCCAGCGGGACCCAACGTGTCCTCACACTGCTTCACCTCCACAGGTTATATGTCCTCGTGGGGACAACGAGGGGGGGCCGGTGATTGGGACTGTAACACTACCCCCCCACTACGACTGGGCTTCCCCGCTCCAGTCGGGGATGGAGAAGGTCTTGGACTGTCTCTTGTGCTCGCCCACGGCGTAGTCCACGTGGATGCAGATGTGCCGCGCGCTCTCCTCCGAGGGGAACATGCTGATCTCCCCGCGGACCGCCGTGTCCTGCACCACGTCCACGGGGGCGTCCAGGTACAGCACCGCCTGCTTCCAGTGCGTCTCGGGCTTGAACGGCGACGTGGAGAGCAGCAGCGCGTGCGGCGGGTCCGGGCACGGGAAGGTCACCGTGAAGAAGACGCAGAAGGCGTTCACCGCCGCCGAGCCGAACGACTCGCACCGGAACTCGCCGCGCACCGAGCGCAGCTGCTCCGCGGTCACCGAGTACAGGTCGAGCTCGGCGAAGCGCGCCGGGTGGGAGAGCACGTCCTCCACCGTCACCGAGCTGACGGTGATGTCGGTGTTCATGAGGCACCGCCTGGCGAAGTCGGACATGCACGACATGTCCACGCCGTACTGGTCCTTGACGGTGTACCAGAAGTTCAAGCGCTCCTCCACCACCGGGTCGCCGATGGGCGCGACGTAGAGCTCGGCTTTGCTGGGCAGGATGACGCCGCCCGGCTTCAGCCACTTGTCGCGGGCGTAGAGCACCGAGTTGAGCATGGACTCGTGCAGCAGCGCGTAGCCCATCCACTCGCTCACGATCACCTCCACCTTCTCCGGCAGCTCCACCGTCTCCACCGTGCCGCGGATGACCTCGATGCGGTCCGCCATGTTGTTCTGCTGGACTATTCTCACCGCCTGCTCGGCGATGGAGCAGGCTTCCACGGCGTAGACCTTCCTCGCGCCGGCTTGGACGCAGAAGACGCTCAGCACGCCGGTGCCCGCCCCGACGTCCAGCACGACTTTGCCCCGTATGGACTCGCTGTTCCGCAGTATGGCCGTCCGGTACGTGTTGGTGCGGACGTGGTCCGCTATCATCTCCTCGTGGATGGTCACATCGGTGTAGCTGTCGAAGTACAGGCGCTCCTGGCGGGTTTTGTCCAATTTTCTTTTCTTAACGACATGAGACATCTTCTCCGGTGTAACGGGCACGCGACTTCACGGCGTTTTTGTTGCGCCGCTTCCGCATTCTTGAATCTGGAACTTGTAGTTTCCCGCTGCTGACAATGCGAGGGACACATATGTAAATAGACTACAATTCCCATGACCAAATTATAGTGACGCAGAGGTCTCCGTGCTGCATTCAAGGACCGGGGAGAGACGGAACAACGGCAACCAAACTCAGTTGAGCGGAGAATAATGACACTTTTCCAGATCAGTTTAAGATTTTGAATTTGCTTACTTAGGCAAATAAAGCAAACAATTGATTGGCCTACTTTATCAATGTCGAATTAGTGTTATTTAATTCAATTAATTGTATTTTCTATAGCCAAAATCGCAAATTTGCCTCAGAGGGCTTTACACGCTCACACTGGCACAGGAAAAGTCCCCCCCAAAATGAAAAGCCCTTCCATGGTGGAAAAACGTGAAGAAACCTTATGGAGAACGTCAGAGGAGGGATCCCCCTCCAGGGATGGACAGACTACTATGGAGGTTTTCCAGGTCAAACTTGTTCACCATATTCTTGATGCTCTTTTTGTCATATTGCATTTGCAAGGTTTCACATTGGAGAGTGGGAAACCATGTATGAAGGTCCGTTTTTAAATCAAAGCTAAAAAGAAAGTCCTCCCTGCATGTACTTAAGTGTGTGGACATATTCTACCACGTTTCAACCACCAGAGCCCATACATTCTTTTCCCTCGCTATAATGAACCAATCATCTTTAGTCCACTGAACAGTTTGTATCTGATAACAAGCTGCACGACTCAGCATGGCCATCACCAGTTCTGAGGCTTCCACAGAGTTATGGCAGCTTCCTGTGTCTCCGCTCTCCTCTCCTCTAGACGGTCCTAAGGGACCCTTTTGAACTTTGTTTTAGAGATCTTTGGCAAAAGACACTGGACAAAGGAGCCGTATCCCCATTTCATGAAGATGGGGGGGGAAAAGAGCGAAGGAGGCAGAAGTTTGAGATGAGAAGAACAGCAAGATGCTTTATTCGGTTTCCTCGACAGCTCCGTGAAATGCAGGAAATAGGGAAAAAAATGGCATTGCGGAATAACTAGAACATAATATTGCTGACAAATGTGTGTGTTTGTTGCTGGGTAGGTGTTTGTGGGTGCATACACATTTACACCTCTTTTTAAAATTTGGACCCTATGCTGCATTTCAAGCACAATCTCTCCTGGGAAAATGTGTGCATTTAATAATTCAGTCTTTATAAATGATCTAGAGAATAAAGCAGTGACATCATTCAGCAGGAACTGATGTTTTCAGCTTGAGTAATGCAACCATCAAGTGGAAATGAGCCTTATACCTTTTTTGTAGTAAACACTGACTTGATATTCAAAGCTCCAGTTTTCCCTCTTGGATATATTTGATTTATGTTAGACCAGAAGCACAATGACGCCACACAAAATCCAAAGATGCAGTGTAATCCTAAAAGTGAGGCGAAAATCAAAGCCGAACGCCGGCGCCCAATCGGAACAAGTGCAAAGGAGGAATGGAAACATACAATAGCATAGATTACTGAACCGTAAAATCCAGACAGTGGAATTCAAATTGTGAGTCACTTGGCAACAGGCGACTCAGCCAGTAGGCACGGCAGACAGAAAAGCAGCTGTAGGCCGTGTCCCCCGCTCCTCCTCTCCAGCTTCAGGTGGAACTGCTGCCAACGCCCGGCTCCCACTGAGGCGCCCGGCACGGCCCTTAAATCCTTAAAAGTAAGCAAATGACGGCGCGGCTTTCCGCGCATATACGAGGAACGCTGGCTGCCCGTCACCAAATCCAGTAGTAGCTCCCGACAGGCGGTGGCGTTTTGGAATTATGTCACCGCTAAGGGGGTTGCTCCTTTTTAGTACATAATTGGTGTTTTTCCGGCCTCCTTACAACCTTTTACATTTATTAAAAATAGCTTTGTTTGGGTTATTGGAACTGGAGTTTGCAAAGGATGCTGATGCTGATCCCTGTTGTTTCTTGTAAGGAAATCCGGTTTAAATTAATTATATTTCATTAAATAAATTGTAATATATTGGATATTATAAACAAGCTAACAACAATTAATGGCAAATGTATTAACCTTTTATTTGAATCAAGTGCCATTTTCAATGTAAACATTACACAATAATTAAACAATGTTTGGATCAATTCACAGAACACCGGATTTTCAACCACATTGTAGGGTCGCATGTCTTTACAGATAAACTTGGCAATTGTTGCTGTGATGTTGAGTTTGGTGCTGGCGAGGCCTGAGGTGTCTGCAGAGCTGGAGTTACGTGCTGCTGCTGCAGCGGTGACGCTGCTAGAGGTCCTGACTGTCGGCGTTGTTTAATCCCACGGCGCCTTAGTAGATGGCCGGAAAGATTCGTCGTGTTTCCGTGGTTTTTTCCGTGGTGCTGGATCGATAAGTTGGTTTGTAAATGTCTCGCTCGCAGTCGTCTCCTCCACGCTGTGTTTTGTTGTTGTTAAGAGTTTTGCGCGGATGCCGCTGCGTACTGATGACGTCACAGACAGGCAGACTGAATCGAGTAACGTTTAATGTGTCTAAAGTGCTAAAAAACAAACAAACAAACATACATCCATACCGTTTTTTTGCTTAAATCCAATGTGCAGTTTCCAAGTATCGATACAAATCGATTATGTACAATTTCATCCATCCATCCATCGTCAAACTGATTATCCTACACACAGGGGTCGCGGGGGGGCTGGAGTCCATCCCAGCCAACTTCGGGCGAGAGACTGGGTACATCCTGGACCGGTCGCCAGCCAATCGCAGGGCTACATAGAGACATAGAACCATTCACACTCACATTCACACATCTACGGGCAATTTAAAGTCCCCAATAAACCTGATCCCCAGAGCATGTCTTTGGACTGTGGGAGGAAGCCGGAGAACCCGGAGAGAACCCACGCAGACACGGGGAGAACATGCAGACTCCACACAGAAAGGCCACTGGGCGGAGTCGAAGGCAGGGCCTTCTTGCTGTGAGGCAACAGTGCTGACCACCACGCCACCGTGCCGCCCTAGCATTTCAATCGATTTGTAATCGATATATGTCGTCCGGAATCCCGATTTGCGGAGCACAGATCGATTCAGTTGGATCGCAGGAATATAAATCGATTAATCGATTCAGTGGGTGAATCGTCACACCCCTACTTTATATAAACATGGAGACTACTTTTGTGCCCTTTGACGCTAATTTTGAATGTAAATTCTGAAAAACGGTCACGGCAACAATCATTTTTCATGAACATGGCAAGTGCGATTAGATAATCCATTGCACAAAAGATGACATGTCTGCTTGCAAAATTTTGATGAAGATGAGCCAGGATCAACAAAGCAAATCCAGGATAAAATTCAAGACCTATTGATTTCTCAATATCGGTCTTTGATTGTATCCACAATATCTGCACGTGGCAAATAAGTTATGATGACGGGAACGATTCTGGTCTACTGTTAAGTGTGTCCTCCGTTGCGTGAACAGAGACAAATATGGACACCCATGCGTCAAAACACACAAGGACCAACTTCCTCACCGTATACTACCATTAGCCCCAAAAACCTCCTCTAAAGTCTGAATACCTCCCCATTTTCAAAGGAATGGAAGATGATTCATTTTTCTCAAAGCCACATATTTCCACAGCTCCTCTACTTTAATTAAACATGGCCAGTTTATGCACATTTAAATCATAGCCCCACATATCCAACTAATGGGGGAGAGGAAGGCCAGAGAAGCGCTTATTATATGTGTCTCAGTGCTCTTTTTGCTGCTCAACACTCCTGTGTAGAGCCTGAGGTAATCCCGGTGGGGGAGGAAGCGGCGCGGGCCGGGGTGGCTCGAGCTTGGCGGAACTAGTGGAAGTCCAATCACTGTGGAAAATGAGGGGTGTCATGGCAAATCAATAACCTGCTTTCTTATTTTTTTTTTTTTTCCATCTTCCTCCTCCGTCAAGCTGTAACAGGATGAGTGATGAATTCACTCCGCGTGTGTCGGTCTTGGATAGAGAGGAGAAATGTCCGGTTGCTACGTATTGTCAAGAGGGAGAGAGAGAGAGAGAGAGACAAAGTGGGAGGACATTCTGTACGAGTAGTGAAACAAAGGCCGCGAAATAAACACGTTTATTAATGTCCAAATAGGAGAGAGATAAAGGGGAAGCGCAGTGTCGGCTGTTTGTACTAGAAGCCCATCAGCAGCTGCTCTTCTTCTTCGGCCAGCTGCTGTCAGCATGCACGGCCTCATGGGAAGGGCCTGCGTCCTGTCAGTATTACTGGACCTGTCAGCTGCTGCAGCGCACACAACAACACACAAACCCAACCCTGCATATTTAGATATGTATACAAGCATGCATAGCAACCGGCGCGACCAGCATGCAGGGGCCATTTCAAGCCGCTTCCACCCACAGTGGCAGGCACACGCACATACCGTACATTATCTATACTTATTCATTTGCACACATACAGCCACCGCTTTTAGTGACGTGATTGTCTGTCTCAGACGGAGGCGGACGGCGGAGAAGAAAATCCAAAAAGGTGCCATGGCTTCGTATTGGTCATTCCCGGGGATGGATAGCAGGCTACTTTGGTAGCGTCACATCTGTGAATGCCGGCGTGCCACCACATTCTTCCTATCTCTTATTAGCTCGCTTATTCACCTGCAAACATAATTCATCTCACCCAAAAGACTGTTTCACGCATGGCTCCATCCGGTTGGCTTCTCCAAGTGCGTGCTATCTGTTTTCATGCTTTGGCATCTCGCCATACGGAAACAGCGTGTGCCAGTACTTATCAGCGGAAAAGTTAGAACGACGGCCAGAGGGAAAAAAAAGGGCCTGCCCCAGGCGCTTTCATTCCCCTTGTTTGTACAGTCCACGAAGCACACACATGCACACACACACAACATCCTATTGCCCCAACCAATCACTTTACAGAATGTTGGCCTGTCAATCCGGGTCCAGGTAATCAATTCATTAATTACATCCCTTTCCCTTCAGACTCACTTCCCTCGTGCCTCCCCAGTATCGGTTACATTACACTGCAATTAGAT